CATACATACATACACAGAGACACAAATACATATGTTCATGTAAAAATTAATATTCAGTTAAAAAACATACACACAAATACATAATTTAAAAAAGAATATTCAATTAAAAACATCTGTGTGTATATATATATATATATATATATATATATACACACACACACACAAATAATTAAAAAGATGAATATATTCAATTAAAAAATCTGATTGTGTGTTTTGACTTTTGCTATGCACATACTTATAGCAATGCATTTATAAATAAATTTCTAATAAAATGAATTGTTGTCTGTGTCCTTTTCTCCACGATGTCCTTGTATAGTCTCCACCCTGGTTTGCTGTGCTGCATGGAGATGCTCCAATCGTTCTGAGAAAGGAGTGCGAATGTATGGCTTCCCTGCTGACACAGAGAGGAGGAAAAAATGGTTGGCTCAAGTCAGCAGGAGCAATATAAAAATAAAACAAAGTTACAACAGCAACAAAATTTGTGAGGTAAACTTAAGAGTATTTGCACTTTTCCACAAAAACCACATACCTTTTTAAACAATGTTTTTCATGCTTGTTTAACGAACCATAAACAATTATTGCACATGCACCTGTGGAACAGTCCTTAAGACACTAAAAAGTTCACAGGTGGAAATCAATTGATGTCAAAGTTTCAATAACTTATGGCATTAAAGAGAACTTTCTACTGACTGAAAAACACTGAGGGTTCATTATCACCTGTGTGAGCATACCAAAGACCTGCTGCAGGAGGCACGAGGACTACAGATTTGGACAGAGCAATAAACGGCAATGCCTGTAATGTAAGACACCTAAGACAGTGCTATAGGGAGACAGGAAAGACAGCTGATTGTCCATACAGTGTGTGTGTGTAGATAAAAACAGAGCTGTGTGTAGGAAGTAAACTAAAATAAACTCACTCTGCAGGCACATTTTGAGGCAGACCAGTTTGTCAGGAACAAAAAGGTCAAGACAAGACTGAGAGCAGGTGCTGGAAGCTACCAGGAAGACGACAGTAGCTTTTTGGCAGACTTCCTGGACACAGTGGAGCAAAATATCACTCCATCAGTCAGAGTGGAAGAGCTGATTGCAGTAAACAGAAAAGCACCTGACCTCACAAAAACTGAGAAGTGTATCCTCTTCCAGCAACCAGCCAACATATCTGACCCTCCACCTGTAACATCATTGGTCATCACCACTCCTGAGTCCTGACCTGTACCATCCTCTTCCTGCAGCACTCTTGACATGCAACATCAGTAATATAATTCATTACAATTATTATTTTTCTAATATAAATTGCATATTCTGTTTAGTATGGCTTCTTATATAATATGGCAGTAGAATACACATTTAGCATGGTACCTTATTGCTGGCTTGATAGAAACATACCTTGTTATGTTTTCAATTTCACCATGGTCCCTTCAGCACTGCTGACCGGCTTCAACCCTTATGCTCCATCACATATCAGTCCTGTGACATCACTGAGCTTCTACAGTAGATTACTAATATAACTACTAAAACAGATGTAAGTATACAATACAGTGACAACATATTTAGTATGATTACTTCTATTATAGAGCAGTCATATAATAATTTTGATATGTAGCATGCTTCTCTATTTAGTCTAGTACACTTCCTTTTTCCAAACTGCTTGCCTGCCTATTTATTTTACTTGTCTTTCAATCCCATTAGGTCTATGAATTTTTCTCTGCCGTTGTCATCAATCCAAAATTCAGCTGAGTTAAAACATAACAGGTAATAGTCACAAAAATCCCAATGCCTAAAACACTCCACATATTTCTGCATACTCAAATCTACAACTCTAAAACTTTTAATAGGATGCATCGTAAAAAATAAAAAATAAAAAAATCACAATAAGTTATTTTATTCTTTGTTACACGTGCAAAAGGAAAACAGAGGATGTCCTCGTTACACACACCAATGTTGTGTTCATATAGTAATATTTAACTTCCCTCAAACTGAAAAAAACCCAAAATTTCTCTACTTCCATAACGACGGATGAAACTGCATTAAGGGAAACGATTTTAATAAGATGCCCCTGATTTGTTTTGTGTCGTTAACGTTATCTACGTATAACATTATCTGTTAACTGATGAACTTTATATTCCCCCAAATCTACTAAATTACAGAGGAATAATCCACTAGCATACTTTATAAAACAAAGTAATTTAATCCAGATGTACTGATGATATACAATCTCATTATTTAAACGTCTTACCTTTTAAAAGTGCATCGCAGACGGTCTGTTCAGCTGTAACTCTATAGCGCTGCTAGCGTTTGGTGCTAACTTCCGGGAACTATTGAGAGGCTCCATGAGCCGCCATTGCTGTGGAAAAAAACCGGACCATTGGAGTGAACGGAGTTGACGCAACTCTTTCTCTCTGTGGCTCTGAGGAATACGCAGCAGCAGCAAAAACAATGGCGTCGCATTTCAGTGGAGTGCTTAAGCTCACGGATCTGGATGATTTTATCACTCCGTCTCAGGTTGAATAGATGTTTCTGCATGTAACATTTGAAACAGACACATTATTATCAGTTCAGTTCTTTTACTTTATAGCCTATCTATGATAGGCAAATAACACCGGTCAGCTGATCATAAGCTAAACGCATGTAGCATTGTGTAGATAACGATACAGTTTACAAAAGTGACACAGGTTTCTGACAAGTTTTTTGATAACGTTAAGTCTTGTAAATACTGTAAATGCTAATTATCAAGGACATTCATTTAGTTAGAGCTCCCAAGTTTGGGCCCACTTTATTTGCAACGTAATGGAAGTGGCTGTGTCTCAAAACCTAGAGAGCGGCCTAAGTAAACAAAATGCATGTAAACTTTACTGGCACTTTAGTTCAATTTAATTATTGAATAAAAGTATTAATTCCCCCCATCTTTTGAACAGTAGTATACCGAAATATAATTTCACTAGTGTTAATTTGTCCAATTTATCAGGCATGTGTGAAGCCTGTAAAGGTGGAAAAGAAGCAGGGCAGATCCGTGGCTAAAATCCAGATAGAAGATGATGGCAGTTATTTTCAGGTCGATCAGGTGAGTACAAATTATGTGACTTTGATTTTGAGCCTGCATTGTGGAAGTCGTGTCTGTGTTTCATCCGTCAGATGTGATGAATAAATGCTTGTTTCCCAGGATGGTCAAAGGCAAAAGTTGGAGAAAGCGAAGATTACTCTAAACGACTGTCTGGCTTGCAGTGGCTGCATCACGTCTGCGGAGAGTGTCCTGATCACCCAACAGAGTCACGAGGAACTGTATCGTGTGCTACGTCAAAATAAGGTTCACTAATTAGTTACACTAATTCAGCTGTGCTTAACATTTTACTCCAAATGAATGTTTCACCCACAGCATGTTTGTGTCTGTGAGCAGCAGGTCAGCAGTAGCGAGCAGAAGGTGGTGGTGGTGTCTGTGTCTCCTCAGTCGAGAGCCTCTCTAGCAGCACACTACGGTCTCAGCAGCAGCGAAGTGGCTCGTAGACTCACCAGCTTCCTGAAGAACTTGGGTGAGATTGAGTCCATGTTTCATATGACCAGTCAAAGACATCCTGCAGTGTGTATTGAGATCATGGAAACTGCATACTGGTCTTTCAGGTGTCCATCATGTGTTTGACACCGGCTTCAGTCGCTCATTCAGCCTGTTAGAAAGCCAGAGGGAGTTTCTAGAGCGATTCAGACGGAAGGAAGTAGACAAGAAGGCTCTACCGATGCTGGCGTCTGCCTGTCCAGGTAGATGCATCTGTTTTTTATTTTTGTGTTTTATTATGGGTCCAATATGGATGGTTCTTGTTTTTCTTGATAATGTTCCTGTGGCTCAGTGGTAGAGCATTGTGTCAGCAGCACAAAGGTTGTGGGTTCAATTCCCAGGGAACACACATACTGGTAAAAAATGTATAGCCTGAATGCACTGTAAGTCGCTTTGGATAAAAGCGTCTGCTAAATGCATAAATTTAATTTAAATGTAATTTTAATTTTCTTGATCTTTTGTGTATGGTTCAGGCTGGATCTGCTATGCTGAGAAGACTCATGGTGAATTCATCCTCCCGTACATCAGCACGACCCGCTCGCCGCAGCAGATGATGGGTTCTCTGGTCAAGGGCTATTTCGCCTCTCAGAAGGTACTAAACAACAAACGTCTGTTCAGAGAGGGAGAAACGGCCCACAATGCTTTGTGCTAAACACAAAGTCTCACATTAAAAACATTTTTTGAAGTATTTTTAGACTTGATTTGAATTTTGAAGGCCACATTAGACACTGCTTTATGCTTTATAGTTGTTTAAATATATTGTTAAATTATTTGTTATTTAAACTTATTATAAACCCTTCTTTGGTCTCTGACGTGTTGTAGATGCAAAGCTTTTTGTTTTGTGACTTGCGCAAAGCTAATCAACTATTAAACATACTTTTTATTTACATCAAATAATAATAAATTAAATTGAGTGACATGCCAATTTCATGCAGAAATTTAACAGTAAGTCAGGTAGGCCTGCGAAATGATTAATCGCGATTAATCGCATTCAAAATAAAAGTTTTTATTTACATAATATATGTGCGTGTACTGTGTATATTTATTATGTATATATAAATACACACACATACATGTATATATTGTAATTATATACAAGTATAAATTTAAATACATACAAATATTTTTAAAATATATACATATGTGTGTGTGTGTGTTTATATATTATACATAATAAATATATACAGTACACACATATAGTATGTAAACAAACTTTTATTTTGAATGCGATTAAGACCTAAAGTCAGGTTTTATTAGTTATTATTAATGAAATAATTATTCCAGTAAACGGCCAATAATCAAGCACATTGAAATAAATTAAGAGCAAATGTATTTATATTAGTGCTGTCAAACGATTAATCGCGTCCAAAATAAAAGTTTTTGGTTACATAATATATGTGTGTGTACTGTGTATATTTATTATGTATATATAAACACACACACATGCATGTATATATATTTAAGAAAAATATGTTATGTTTATATATTAAATATATTGATATATAATAGAAAATATAAGAATATAAATGTATATACATGTACATATTTTCTAAATATATACTGTATGTGTGTGTATTTATCTAAACATAATAAATATACACAGTACATACACATATATTATGTAAACAAAAACTTATTTTGGAATGCGATTAATCACGATTAATCGTTTGACAGCACTAATTTATTTATTTTTTTAATTGTTTGATTTAATATTAACAACATAACAGACTATTTCTCAGGTCAAGTTTAAAAAAAGTTTAATTATGATACATTATTTGAATGATATTTGTTATTAAAATATATGTAAATATTTTTCTAATTAAATGCAAATGCTTGTTTTTTATATATTTAAAAAATAATATTTATTTAATTATTGTTTAATTAAAATGTTTTTCCCCACTTACTACATTTACGTGACAAATCAAGGTCAATATGCCTTTTGAATCATGGGATATATCAGTGCATTAGAATGGTAGTTCTAGTATGAGATTTTCATTCTCCAACTTTTGCTTTGACAGGGTGTTTCACCACAGCAGATCTACCATGTGACCGTGATGCCCTGCTATGATAAGAAACTCGAGGCTTCCAGACCAGACTTCTACCTCAGCAAGTACGAGACCAGAGAGGTGGACTGCGTCATCACTTCAGGTGAGTGAATCTAATAGGGTTAAAATCACGAACTGAAGGAAAACAGGTAAGATTATAGCCATAAGACCTCATTGTCTATGTGTCTGATTCATAGGTGAAGTTCTGAAGATGTTGGAAGAGGAGAATGTGTCCTTGAGGGACGTGGAAGTGGCACCTTTAGACACAATGTAAGTTCTTCTATTTGGCAGTGAAACCCAGCTAGCACTTATCAAATAGACTCATACGTGTGAATGTGTTTTAGGTTCAGTAACGTATGTGGGGAGGAGCTGCTGGGTCACGCAGGAAGTGGATCGGGAGGATACCTTCATCACATCTACAAACATGCTGCCAAACAGCTGTTTGGGGTTGAAGTAGATGAACTCACTTACAAGACAATTAAGTACGTCTGAACACTGCAGTATTGTTACAGTGATCCCAGATCTGTGTTGTTTGTTCACCACTGTTAAAAAGTTTAGGGTCAGTCGATTTTCTTTTAAAGAAATTCAAACCTTTGTTAGCAAGGTTGCATTAAATTCATCAAAATGGTCAAAAGACTCTCATGTTGTTACAGAAGATTTCCATTTCAAATAATAAAAATGCCGTTAAACTTTAAGCTATCTATTAATCAAAGAATTCTGGAAAAAATCTTTTTAACGGTTTTCAGCATTTATAATAATGAGATGTTTTATTTTTACTATATTAGCATAATTTCTGAAGGATCATATGACACTGAAGTAATGATGCTGAAAATTCAGCTTTGCATCGCAGGATTAAATTAAGTTTTGACACATTAAAATAGACGACTCTTATTCGAAATTGTAATAATATCTCACAATATTGCTGTTTTTCTGTATTTTTGATCAAATACATGCAGCCTTGGTGAGACGTCTTTCAAAAATATTTTTTGACTCCAAACATTTGAATGCTAGATATTTACTGTAAATAATGAATATTAATTTTAAGGTTTAGATTGTCTGAAATGTATAAATGTTATGAAATATTTACCATGGTTTTTGAGACAGACCAGGAAAATGATTTTTTCATGGAATTTTTAAAGTCTTAGATCACGCTAATACAATTTCTATAGCTCTACAAGCTCTACAAGTTCTACAAGTTCTTCTAAAGTATTTCTCTGGCTAGAAATTACTAGAATGTAACCGATTTCTAAATGCAAGTAATTTTGAACTAAGAATTGATGTGTAAAATATGTAAAAAAAATCACTTTAAAACTATTTCTATGACTGGAAATTGGTCAGAGATGATAGGAACCATGTAATATTATGGTATTCTTAAAAGTAAATTATACGACAGTACAATCATCAATATTAACATCTGATAAATCACTCTATCACTCCATGGTACTACCACAGTACTGTTAATGTAAGGAATAATGCATCACCTGTCACGTTTTATTTAAAAAGACTGCTTTTAAGGGTTTGTTCACCATAACACTTCCAGAAATACCATGGTGCTACTATAGTTTATTGGTCACATCTCATGGTAGTGTCTCTGTAAGTGACATTTTTTTGATTTGTCCCCCCAAAAGAAACAAAGACTTCCAGGAAGTCACTCTAGAGAAGGACGGTCAAGTTCTGCTGCGATTCGCTGCTGTCTACGGCTTCAGGAACATTCAGAACCTGGTGCAGAAGCTGAAACGCGGAAAGTCACAGTACCACTTTGTAGAAGTGATGGCATGTCCATCAGGTCAGAAATGACACCCCCAGTGCTTAAAAACCTTCTTTTTGTAACATTTGTAAACTTTCTGTGTGAGAAAAACTTTTACTATGTGAGAGAAAAAAACTTGCATTTAGCATCACTGAAGGAAAATTTTACTATTTCACTTTTTTAGATTTATATTTTTGTTATTATATTCCTAAATATATACATATTTTTTTTACGTAATTACATGTTTTCATAGTTAATTTGATGTTATATTTTGTACTCTTGAAATTCTTTGGGGCACGGTTTTGTCATTGTTGAATTTGTATAATATTCTGATACTGTTCTCTAGAATGATATCTGTTCGAAATTTGCATAACCTATTAATTGCAGACAATAATGGGATAGTGTTTCAGATCGGATTCACTGACACTTTGGATTGTGTTCTACAGGATCTCTGAATGGCGGAGGTCAGCTGAAGCCTTCATCAGATCAAACGAACAAAGAGCTGCTGCAGCAGGTGGAGGAGTTGTACCACGGTGAACGTACCTCGGTGCCAGAGCAGGACTCGCGAGTGGCTGAACTCTATCAGAGCTGGTTAGAGAGCGTGGGAAAGGAGATAGCCAGACCGCTGCTGCACACGCAGTACCACGCCGTAGAAAAAAACACCAATGGACTCAGTATAAAGTGGTGAGGAGACACGAGACACTGATGAACCATTTAAGTTGTTTCTTTGCCTTCCGTTAAATGTTTGTCGAAGTCAAGTTACACTTTAAGATGCATTTAACACTACACCAGCTAAACACTTCTAGACACGCCATTAGCAAATATGATTATGTTTTTTGTTTTATTTATTTAATTATATTTCCTGCTTCTATAAAGTATCCGCTGGAAAAGGTTGGGGTCGGACTACAAATCAAACCGGTCTTTGTGTCTTTTAGCAGTAGGCAATTTTTCTATGTCCATGAATGTTGCCTTATGTTATTGTTTTCTTTCATGTATTTGTGAGTTTGTTTCTTTGAAAGTGTTGAATGCAAAAAAACACAATAGATGTTACTATGCAGTATTCACTGAAAATTATACTTTTTCTTCTTTTTTAACATATATTTTGATTTATGATGATAATAAATATATGAATCATTCCATGAATGTAATTCTATTTATTGAGAAAATGGAACTATAAATATATTTTAATTCTATTAATTCTTTATGTATATATTTGTGATTTGTGTTTTACTTTTTTTCTAGTGCTGTCAAACGATTAATCGCATCCAAAATAAGTTTGTTTACATGTGTGTACTGTTTATTTATTATGTATATAATAATATAATATAAATACACACACACCGTATATTTCGAAAAATTTACATGTATATATTTATATTCATATATATTATATATAAATATATTTAAAATATAAACATCTTATTTTTAAATATATACATGCATGCGTGTATTTATATGTACATAATAAACATACACAGTACACACACACATTATGTAAACAAAAACTTTTATTTTGGATGCGAATAATAATCGTTTGACAGCACTAATTTTTTCATTAGTATAGGTATTTTGATTCTGGGCTTTTTTTAAATGACCAAAACAACAAAAAACTCTTAAATATTACATTTGAAGTATTAAATGATCTTGATATTGCCATTTTTTCATTTACATGTGACATTTTAAACTAATTTGATACTTTGAATTATTAAAATTTTATTATGCAAAATTGTATGTAAATCGTTTGGTAATACAATAGGTTCAAGAAGGTTGGAAAACTTTTATTGCAACAAGAAAAAATTGTGTTTAACAATTAGTACTTAATATTGTTTTATACAAAATAAGGTAATAAAACAACACATTAATCAAGATTGTAGCTGGATTTATGAAAAAACAAACAGCTATGTACATTTACATTAAGACTTTATTCATTTTGAACACTATAATTATAATTAATAATATCTGTTATTTTTGATGACAAAAAGTGCAAGTTCGGCTGAAACAATAACTGGATGAGATAAAACAAGGCGAAAAACCAGTATGCATTGTTCAATAATTCCTATATCCAGAGACATCAGAATAAACACAATTTCATCAAATGTCATTTTCTGATTGACACAAAAATACGCTTTGTTCATAACATCTTAAAAATAATTCTTTTTGATTTACAAAATAAAACATTGCACATTAAGACAAACATTTCGACATAAAACTATCATTTAACCACATAACATTGGTTCATGGCCTGGCTCTTCCCAAAAGCTGAAAATGTCAAAAATAAAACCTACGTAAACTTACGTAAATAAAATTGTGCCTACAAAACAGACCTAGTACATTTGAATTTTCTATCAATGCGAATCAGTGGCATAAATGTATTCATGAAAACATTGTAAATAATTTGTTTTTGTTTGATCTATTGCTTGCAGCAATGTTTTAAATAACATTGTTTTACAGGTTAACAATCCTGTGTATTGCTCACCGAAGACGATACGCTGTCTTAAAGAAAAAACATGGAAATAACATACCAGCTCAATAATTGTGCTTTTGCTGTAAATGGAGTTTCTGCATGTCCTGCGATTGTTAGTCAAGTGATGAGCAGATATAAGCGTAGTGGTGATGACCATCGCAAAGACAAGCCTGAAAGCTCAATTCTTTGGGACTTTAAAGCCGTCCTTCTACTTACGGATGCTTCTCATGGCTTCAATCGGGTCACTGGTTCCAGCATGCTCTTGTACTGACTTCTCTCTGAAGTGCAAACACAAAGACATGAGGGGGGAAACAGTATTCATTTTAAAATTATATACATTTTTAACAGTAATATTCCAAATTGACTAAGTTAATTTGTGTAGATGGTGCAAGAAGGTTTATATGTGACCCTGGACCACAAAACTAGTCTTAAGTGTCAATTGTTCAAAATTGAGATTTATACAATATCTGGAAGCTGAATAAATTAGCTTTCCATTGATGTATGGTTTGTTAGGATAGGACAATATTTGGCCGAGATACAACTATTTGAAAATCCGGAAAATCTGAGGGTGCAAAAAAATCTAAATATTGAGAAAATCGCCTTTAAAGTTGTCCAAATGAAGTTCTTAATGCATATTACTAATCAAAAATTACGTTTTGATATATTTACGATAGGAAATTTACAAAATATCTTCATAGAACATGATCTTTACTTAATATCCTAATGATTTTTGGCATAAAAGAAAAATCTATAATTTTGACCCATACAATGTTTTTTTGGCTATTGCTACAAATATACCTGAGCTACTTATGACTGGTTTTGTGCTCCAGGGTCACATATGATGTATGGTTAGGAATTATTTCACATACCTCTCTCATGAAGGGGTTAAATGTGAACTCATCCGCCACTGTAGAGGGAATGGTTGGCTCTCTGTTAACATATTTTTCCTAAGCAGTGCAAGACAAGGTTATTCAAACACTTGCGCTATGATAATATTTGCAGCTAAAGTGAATACATTAAAGAAGAGTTAAACACCTTAGCCCATGTTAACTTTTTCTGGATGGCCTCGTTATTTGGCTCAACATGCCACGCGAACTTCAGATTATTGATGGTGTACTCGTGACCGCAGTATACACGCTGAAACAAAAGCAAATTGTAACTTTAGAACGTGACTTTTGATGACCTAAAACATCTATTTCAGTAACTATGAAGATGTTTAAAGACTTCAATAAAGCAATAAGCCCCGTGAAGCCAAGGTTTACAGTGAATTTATAACAGCTAAGAGGCGTTGTTAGGCACGACGCGAAGCTGAGTGACTAAACCCCCCTTAGCTGTTATAAATTCACTGTAAACCACAGCTTCACGGGGCTTATTGCTTTTATAAAACGGTTATTCCATGTACGTAGTAAGGTTTCACAAAATAAAACAGAGCAAATAAAGTGTAATGATATAAATAAAAACAGTATTCTTCCACCAAACAATGTAGTTCCTCAGAAACAGTTGTGGTTGCAACAAAGTGGTTGCCGAGCAACACACAAACGTAAACAAAGGTGTATGTTTGTAGAGTAATTTACAACAGCTTCGAACGTGGCTCAGCCAATCAGAATCAAGGACCGGAACTATCCGTTCTATAATAGCATTTATGGCTTTAATATTTAATAATCAGTAACATTTTATAGCCCAAAGGCAGAGATTTCGGTTTAGATGGAGGAACTGTTACCGTCTCTGGAGGAAGACGGCCTAAAACCTCAATCAGGGCTTTATACATCTCATCAGCGGTACCCTCAAAAAACTTTCCACAGCCGGCCACAAACAGAGTATTGCCTGTTAATAATGTGAACATAACAAAAAAACTGGATTGTTAATACAGTTCATCATATGTCAGACTGTCAACATAGTCTCTGCTCTGCTTTATTCATTATGGATGCATTCAGCTAATCAAAAGTGGCAGTAAAGACATTTATAATGTTACAAAAGACTTCTATTTCAAATAAATGCTGTTCTTTTGATCTTTCTATTCATCAAAGAATCCTGAATGGATCACGGTTTTCACAAACATATGAACTGTTCATCACTGATAATAATCAGAAATGTTTCTTAAAGGGTTAGTTCACCCAAAAATGAAAATTAGGCTGAGTTTTACTCCCCCCCGAGGCATCCTAGGTGTATATGACTTTCTTCTTTCAGACGAATCCAGTCGGAGTTATATTAAAAATTGTCTTTGATCTTTCAAGCTCTATCATTTCAGTCAGCGGGTGATGCACGCATCAGTCCAAAAGCACTTAATTAAAATGTGCCCATCCATAAAAAAAAAGTGTCAGCATATTAGAATGCTTTCTGAAGATTGGAGTAATGACGCTAAACATTCAGCTGTGACATCACAGGCATTACATTTTAAAATATATTCAAATAGAAAACAATTATTTTACATTTTAATAATATTTCTCAATGTTCTGTTTTTACCACAAATAAATGCAGCCCTGGTGAGCACAAGAGATTTTTCAAAAACCAAAAATGCATTTAATGCATCCTTGCTGGATAAAAGTGTTATATAATATTTATAAGTATTTATTTTTTTTTATTAGTGGTGTATATAAACTATGTCTTACCTGTAAACACAGCTGGTGGTTCAGTGCTGTTTTCTTTTGTTACAAAATAGCAAATGTGTCCACTGGTGTGACACGGCGTGGACAAACACTTTACATTCAGAGAGCCCACCTGGAATAATAAAACAAAAATAAGAAAATCATCAAACTGACAGATCCTATCAAATGGATGATTCTGATTGGCTAAACTGCATTCAAAGTCAATTTAAGCACATGTGATTATACCATTTAAAAGTTTAGGATTGGTAAAGATTTTTCATGTTTTATAAAGAAGTCTCTTAGGCTCACATTTACTGTATAGGATAGATTTATATAGGCTACATTTATATGATCCAAAACATAGTAATAACAGTAATACTGTGAAATATTATTGCAATTTAAAATAACTGTTTTCTGTTGAAATTGATTTTGAAAAGTAATGTATTCCTGTGATGCAAAGCTGAATTTTCAGCATCATTACTAGGTCTGACTCACCAGTGATGGTGGGTTGTCAGGACAGTTTTGAGCTTCACGCCATGCTTTTTGACTGCATCTACAATCTGAGACATGACAATTACAAATCTATTGTATACAGTCTGTAATGTGGGATGCGCACAGTGACATGTTCTTACTTTCTGAGGCTCTACTGGATCGACTATGGCTGCTTCCTTCGTGTCTTCATCAATGAGGAGGTACATGTAGTTGTCGGTGAGCGCGGGCAGCAGTTCTACCTTCATGTCTGTCTGTTCCACCAGAGATGATTTCCTGAGAGCGGAGTGAAACAAGCCTGTGGGAACTATAAAACAGAGGTTCACAATCAGTAAATGCTCCAGCATGAATAAGAGATTACATGAAAAACAAACCATAGTTACCATAATTACCAAAATACTTTAGTCGCTACAATTTTAGTTACCATACATCACATTTTGTATGGTTTTATATACTTTCTAGCTGGTCATTTATGGTCATAAGTTGGTTAAAGATGGTAGTTCATTTTTGGGAAACTGGTTCAGCTCATTATGTGTTTTCCATCAGTTTTACTATTTTAGGCTGGAATGAGCAGTGTTTAAATGCAACAAAAAATTTGAAGAAGATCCCACATTCATATATTATGATTTAACAGTAATAACAATTACAATAATTAACAATTTCTGTAGTAACGGCAGTATTTTGTTGGAAGCTATTAATGGTATATTTTGTAAAGCGTTAAAGAGTTTGAGGTCAGTAACATTTTTGAATGTCTTTAAAAGAAGTCTCCTATGCTTACCATGACTGCATTTAGTTGATATTTTGATACAGTATATATATATATATATATATATATATATACAGTAAAATAAGTAATATTGTGAAATATTGTAACAAAAATATTACTACCATTTAAAATAATGATCTGATGATCCTTCAGAAATCATTCAAATATGCTGATTTGATGCTCAAGATTTGATTTGATGTATTTCTTATTATCAGTGTTAAAAATAGTTGTGCTGCTTAACATTTTTGTAAAAACTGTGACATGTTTTTAGGATTCTTTCATTTTTAAATAAATAGTTTAAAAGAAAAGCATTTACTTGAAATATAAATACTTTGTAACATTATAAATATCTGTATTGTAATGAATGGTAGTGTATCTACAGTTTAAAATACATTTTGTAACATTTTAATAATCATCTGCATGCAAAATTGTGCTCACTGGTGTGCGTTTTAGATCTTAACGTCATAAAATGTAGGTTTTAATTTAGGAGAAAATAAATACATATCTATTATGCCCAATGTTTTGATGCTGGGTCATTCTCTCCATATTGCATCGAAGCAATACTGTAAAAAAAATATGCATGGCATGTTATTGCAATGTACGCCTATTAACACCACACAAGTGAGAATTAAGAAATCTTTGATAAATTGTTTGGAACTTTCAATTGCACGTACAACGCAGGGAAAAAAATTCAACATACAATTACGTTACTCTTCCTAACGCACGACATGTAAAGTGTTGCATTCTGTATAATGTGTATAAAATACGATCAGTGTAATCGTGCATTGCATACATGCAACATGTCATGCTCGATCAACAGCCAAGATGATGTAACTCTACTCTGTACAGGGAACAACTCAACTAGATCTCTACTAGATCAAAACATTGACTCAAGGGTTCTTCGACAGCGCTGACATATCGTTACACATCGATAGACAGGTCATTATGATCATGCGCGAGTAGAGATCCTCGTGTAAACATACCGAATTAGCGCGCGACAGCTCCGAGGACACCGAGTCACCGAGAGCGCAGGCACTCGCCGCCAGCGACCTGAAGCACATATCAGGACTTCAGCTGTCTGACACTACAGTCAGCACAGGGAGGAAGTACAAAGTCTGCTTTAGAATGCAAATCAGCCCACTTTTTAACTTTGACCTCTCGTTTAACCAATCCAAAACGGGTGAGTGTCGCGCGTGCTGCTGTAATCCGCGCTGTCTTTAGGGTTATTTACGAATGAATTCTACTATAGTGAAGGCTTGGCTGTTATTCATAACTCATGGCGTTGGCGTCACATGACCTAATTCATATTCAAAAGTCGTTTTTTTTTTTTTTTTTTTTTTTAATTTATAACATTCACTTTTGATCATTTGAATTCATCCTTGCTGAATAGAAACATTAATTACTTACAAAAAAAATCACACTAACCCCAAACGTTTGAACAGTGGTATATATTATATAAATCAGACTTACTTTGAAAGTGTAGTGTGTGACTTTCTGAGTTAAAGCTCCCACTCCCCGTACATTGTCAGTCCCGGCATGAGCTTCACCAGCTTCTCATTACCTCCTGCATGATCCCTGGAAGTTACAAAACATCACATCTTTTTTCCCACTCAACTTCTGTCATATCAGTGCATATAGACTACATACATTTATTTATATATCTATATCTATATATATATATATATATATATTTTTTTTAATAATCTAATACAGTTACGTGCAAGGTAATTACAGCATGCATCTCTATATACATACTACATCTCTACAAAATTAAAATTAGAACAAAAGACAAAAATATGAGGGACGAAACACCAATAGATTCGCTATCACAAATATATACTATGGAAATACATTTTTAAAGTATTATTTTATAGTATTGTTAATATCCATAACTCAGATATAAATGTCACTTTCACATTTCTCACCAGCTGTTTTTTGTTTGTTTACTTTTTCCTACTTTTTAAAATAGTTTTGTTGATGGATTTGCAACTGGAGTCCCAAAAAAACAATAACGCATATTAAATAATAATTAATATTCATAAACTAAGCCTTCTCCGTAGTAGAATTCTTAATTTCGCTTTCGGGTTTAGTAGTTTTAAATTAATAGTTGTGGTGAACGAGTTCAGAACGAATAATGTCTTCTGGACTGAATTACACACAAGTGTATCAGTTTCTTGTTCGTTTTACTTGCACTAGATAATTCGCACGCGCCAGACCGCCCTCCGTTATCGAGCGACCAAAGGTCATGTTATTTCCGGTTGCAGCAGGTCTCGCTGCCTGGTGTTGGACTCCAAAATGAGCGCAAGGAATATCGCTCGCTTTTGGGAATGGGGAAAGAAAATAATATGCGTCGGGAGAAACTATGCAGATCACGCCATCGAGCTCAAAAATGCCATTCCCAGCGAACCTGTGCTTTTCCTGAAGCCCCCGTCTGCTTACGTTAGGGAAGGGTCTCCTATCCTGCTTCCCTTCTACACCAGCAACCTCCACCATGAAGTTGAGCTGGGGGTGGTGATTGGTAAAGGAGGAACTGCTATTCCTCAGTCTTCAGCCATGGAGCATGTGGCTGGATATGTGTTATGCCTGGACATGACAGCTCGGGACGTTCAGGACGAATGCAAGTCCAAAGGTCTTCCATGGACCCTGGCCAAAGCTTTTAACACCTCATGTCCCATCAGTGACTTCATTCCCAAGGAGAAGATCCCAGACCCGGGGAGCATCAACCTGTGGTTGAAGGTGGACCATATTGTGAAACAGAATGGAAGCACATCCCAGATGATCTTTTCCATCCCATATCTCATAAACTACATCAGCGAGATCATCTCTTTGGAGGAAGGTGATCTCATTCTCACTGGGACCCCTAAAGGAGTGTCAAGTGTCCAGGAACAAGATGAACTTCAAGCTGGGATTGATGGCATTGTGACTATGACGTTCAAAGTGGATCGAAAAAGTTGATTTCAATTAGAACAACTAGACAATTTGCTGCAAAGCACAACCATTGCAATGGCAATGACACAATGATTTTACAGTCACTAGAATTGGAAACATTGTATGATGTTTTTTTTCTTTTCTAAATAAAAATTTTAATCTGACTACATATTTTGTGGCCATCTTATGCTATTCTCTTTCTGCAAAATTATCCGAGGTTGATTTGCTTTATTTGAACCGCTGGTCTTGTAAGTTATGACGTCAAATTAACATTTTACCAGGTCTAAATGTTCTTTAAACAGAGCAGCTTTGTTTTACACACCTCAGATTTTATCAGATTGACTAGGTTATTGACATATGTGACCCTGGACCACAAAACCAGTCATAAGGGTCAATTGTTTGAAATTGAATAAATAAGCTTTCCATTGATGTACGGTTTGTTAGGATAGGACATTATTTGGCTGAGATTTGACTGATCATATTCAGACAGGAAGCAACATGAAAACAGCAGCTCAGCCTTACATTAAGTAGAAAAATCTGCATGTGGTTGCACTTTTCTCAAGTGATGATACATGAATAATGACACGGTGCATAGGTCTAACACATAATAGTAGGCAAAATTAGTTAACTATTAGCCATTTGTAATTGTTATAATTTTACAACATTCAGGTTGTTTTAAAAATCAGATGTGGTTTCACTGGGACTAAATCAGTGGTCAGCTTTAACATTAAATGTTTATAGCTTATGTTTTTTCTTAATTAACAAACCCCGTTATCCTGTAAAATGCAAATAAAATACCATATACAAACAGAAACAGAAATATTTATTTTGCAATCCTGGCATAGGTTGCTTCTATTGACCTCTACATAGACTATGAATGTACTTTCAAAGAATCAACATGCTCCATTACATATTCATTCTCACAAACAATTTATTTATTAACCCCATTTAAAAGAAGTTAAATTAAAGTTCCGTCACTTGCTTCATTCCTGAATGAATCAGCCGTTCGAACGAATCAATTGAATGAATGATTCAGTGATAAAATCAGTGACTTGCCGCCACCTGCTGGCGGATTTAGTTTCATTTTTAGCGTATAATTTCAGTTATTTGAATCATATTTCGGTTTTCAAAATTTTATATTTAAAACATTAATCTCCACATGAATGTATGAATTTAATTGCACTCATGCCAGCCTCATTAAACGTCTGAAAATTTACCTACAAGCCACTTTTGTGTTCTTCTGTGCCACCTCTGTAGTACAAATGAATTTATTAATACTAATTTCATATGATTGGTAACTTATTTGTCTTATTGTACTTCTTATTATATTGCAGGGCTTAAAGCAAAGAAAATCTTTTGACTGAAAATTTTTCTTCGACCAAACCCCATTCCTCAGCCATACCTGTTACACACCCAGTTTAAGAGCAGTTTTTTCTTGTAATCAGGAGCGCTTGTCCTCCTAATTTAAATATTTAGGAGCACCTTCTGATCAATAATCAAAAATTCTGATCAAAAATTAGCCTTCCTAATACAAGGTGACATTTAACTCCTTAAAGTGACTTACAGGAGTATTTTCTTTTTACCTTTGTAATGGCATCATTTTCATCAATGTCAAATTAAAAAATGTATGTTTATAATCTTTTTTAAATTTCTATTTAAAACAATATAATAAGAAGTAGAATAAGACAAATAAGTTACAAATCATATGAAATTAGTATTAATAAATTGATTTGTACTACAGAGGTGGCACAGAAAGTGGCTTGTAGGTACATTTTCAGACATTTAATGAGGCTCAGAGGTGGCATGAGTGCAGTTAAATTCATAAATTCATGTGGAGATTAATGTTTTAAATATAAAATTTTGAATACAGAAATATGATTCAAATAACTGAAATTATACACTAAAAATTAAACTAAATACGCCAGCAAGTGGCGGCAAGTCACTGATTTTATCACTGAATCATTCATTCAATTGATGCGTTCGAGCGGCTGATTCATTCAGGAATGAAGCAAGTGACTGTCTTTATGAACTGACGGAAATCCGTCTTAGCGACGGAACTTTAATCCCTGAGACTTTGTACATCTCTTGGGTTTCCATCAATATGTAACAGCAGAAAAATCCAGCAGTTTACATGCAGCCAAGGTTTAGTGATTGAAATCTCTGCAGTGACTGAAACAGTGATCTACAGAAACAGCAGCAGTAGTTTGCATCTTTTGCTATTGCTCTAAATATGTTAATGCATCAATTATTTCAAGTGGTAAATGTGCTAAACAATATCTAAAAGATTATCTCTGCATGACCAAGCGGGGCTGCAGAAATTATTAAGTCAGTATTCGTGATTCTCATGTTATCAAGTAACCAAATTATTTACTTTAAAAGGTAACTATTGATCTATAACAGGCAAACTAATATAAAATGTACACTACAATTTAAAAGTTTGGGGTCAGTAAGGTTTTTTTTTTTATTTCATCAGCAAGGACGCATTGAATACAAATGATTTCTATTTCAAATAAATACTCTTCTTTTGAACATCAAAGAATCCTGAAAAAAGTATCATGGCTTTCCAGAAAAATATGAAGCAGCACAACTGTTTTCGGCATTGATAATAATAAGAAATGTTTCTTGAGCATCAAATCAGCATATTAGAATAAAATGATTTCTGAAGGATCAAGTGACACTGAAGACTGGAGTAACGATGCTGAAAATTCATCTTTGCATCACAGGAATAAATTGCATTTTAAAATATATTACAATAGAAAATAGTTATTTTAAATTGTAATAATATTTCAAAATATTACTGTTTTTTTACTGTATTTTTGATAAAATAAATGCAGCCTTGGTGAGCATAAAAAGAGACTTCTTTCAAAAACATTAAAACACCTTACTGACCCCAGACTTTTGAACAATAGTGCATATCGTGAATATTATAAAAGATCTGATCTTGCATAGTTGTGCGTATTTATTGGAAGTAAGCTTCTTCATGTTCCCCATGAGGCTGTTTACACATTACTGCTCTGATCGTTCCTCTGTGGGCTTTTCATCAGAGCCTTTCATACGCCATCCACACGGAAAACACATCCGAGCTTCTCCATACGCTCTTACTGAAACATCCTCACATGCTTATCCAACATCTGGCTCTACTGTTGTTCATTCTTGACTGTGAAAGAAAACAAGAGGGTTATGCAACAAACCAAACGTATTAAAAGACATTCTGTACATAAAACAGAAGTAGATATCAAGTGCTTACTTGAAGAAATATAGCACAGATCATGTTAACAGCCATTAGTGTAGAAATTCAGATCATTCTGATAGTTTTATGGCATAGCGGTACATTAAATATTTCATTTAATTGTATCAATTTGTTGTGTATACCTTTAGGAATGAACTTCAGAGAGCTGCTGAATATTCAGAAGCGTGAGAGGCCAGGTTTGGGTCCATCATTCACAAACTCATGGCCAAGACCATTTCCACACTTACCACATTTAACCTGTATAAGATGATACAGAATTCAATGTTCACTTTCTCCAGATCTGAGATTAAAGGAATCAAATTTGCTAAAAATTTACTCACCCTAAGATGTAGATGAGTTAGTTTCTTTATCAGAACAGATTTGGAGAAATTTAGCATTACATCACTTGCTCACCAATAGATCCTCTGCAGTGAATGGGTGCCGTCAGAATGAGAGTCCAAACTGTTGCTAAATGCAAAATTTCACCAAATGTGACCCTGGACCACAAAACGGGTCACGTTTGGAAATGTGAATAAGGGAATAATGTGAACAAATAAGGGTCAATTTTTTTTAAATTGAGATTTATACATCACCTGAAAGTTGAATAAATGAGCTTTCCATTGATGTATGGTTTGTTAGGATAGGACAATATTTGGCTGAGATACAACTATTTGAAAATCTGGAATCTGAGGGTGCAAAAAAATCAAAATATTGAGAAAATCGCCTTTAAAGTTGACCAAATGAAGTTCTTAGCAATGCATATTATTAATCAAAAATTAAGTTTTGATATATTTATGGTAGGAAATTTACAAAATATCTTCATAGAACATGATCTTTACTTAATATCCTAATGATTTTCGGCATAAAAGAAAAATCGATAATTTTGACCCATACAATGTATTGTTGGCTATTGCTACAAATATAACCCAGCGACTTAAGACTGGTTTTGTGCTCCAGGGTCACATATCTGTTCTGATGAAGATCTTGGATGGAATGAGAGTGAGTAAATTATCAGCAATTTTTCATATTGGGGTGAACTATTTCGTTAGGTACTTCAAATTCTCAAAACAAATAAAAAAAAAAGAAAAAAGAAACAGACTGGAAACCACTTCAGCCTTCACCTTATAAGCACCCCATCTCTCCTCATGTTTAGACACACTGTTTTCGTGGATGGTTTCTGTGAAGGCTGGCCAGGGTGATGAATGCTCATATTTGGAGCGGCTGGAGAACAGCTCATGCCCACATTCGGCACAAACATACATGCCTGCAGAAGAAACACACATGTAAGTCTCAGTCAGAATCCCATTGGCAGTGTAAAATATTTCTGAATCTTATTTTATGCAGTTACTAATTTGCCAGAAAGTCACTAATGCTACTATTCAGCTACATTCTCTTAAAAAAAACTTGATGTATAAGATTAAACTGATCACTGAGAAATAAAATGAAGAAAAAGACATCCGATTACCATTAACCTACATTGACTTTTACTGTACCATTTTTTATGACGCTTTGGCAATATTAAATGTCAAAAAATCATATCAAAAAGTACTTTTATATCTGAAACAAAGGCTGAACAAGAACTTTCTTCTCTTAGCAACAAGAGCCATAACGTTAAAACAAGACTTTCCCATAGTTTTACTAATGAAAACTACATATACATGATATTACACAAGCTGCCATGTTTACATGTGTTGTATAGTAGGCTTCATCGGGGTCAACTTACCAGTCTCAAAATGACCTTTATAAAACTCCCCTCCAGAGAACGAACAGAAAGACATGACTACACCGACTGTGATAAAGTTCAGACGAACGATTGTAACTATCTGTATCAACTGGTGTTTTATAACCTCAGCTGGTGGGAGAAGCGTGTCTGTACCACGTGACCACACAATCGCTACTGCATGACAGCAGCAGGGATCTGCAGTGAAGTTATTTTTAAAAAATTAACAAGCCCAGATATTATAGCAAAACAATAGCTTCTCCACCATAAGAAACAATTACACAATAGACATTAGCTAAAGTACTGACTGCAGTGCAACTATACCATATTTACATAATAAAACCACACATACATGTCCAGTCTGTGTTACATAAATTATATAATCGTATAAACAGAAAGTTTATTAAGAACTTTTTTTTTAAATAAAGATGAGTATGAAGAGTAGGTAATGCAGGTTTAATGGGAAGCCTTATAATGACCTATTTGTTTATAAATCACTTTTTTTTTTTTTTTACGTATTATATTTGCATCTGTTTTAGTTTTATAATTGACAACTTTATGTATCAATGTCCCAAGTGATCCAATATCATATGAGTGCAACGACGACATCTATTTGTAGAAAAACATTATTGCATCTATAACCTTTCACCTTCAACCTAGCTGTTTACAAACGAAGCGTGGAGATAAAATAGTCTTTTTTTTTACAGATTAATGGCATATTTGTTTTATCAAAATGATTTACATACAATAAAATGAAAGTCATTTCACTCGGTTTATTCGTCGCAGTTTGGTGACCATTCTCGCCATGTTGTGTGAAGCGCGCATGCGCACTGTGGAGGAGAGCGACGGCAGATTGAGGTCGATTAAAGGATTTTTGAGATTTCCCTTTCAATTAATGGTCGAAAATGCCGAAAGATCACGATAAAGATGTGTATCCAGAGCCTCCCAGTCGGACCCCAGTGGTGGACAGACAATCGGTCCTGCCGAATCCAGCTTTAATACTGTCAAAGCTCTTCTACTACTCGGTGGATTTGCCAGTGACTACATTCAGAGGTGAAGCGGCTCCTCAATAGTGCATCTGATACTGTTTACACAGGCTTATTCATCCAGTTTGATATATAGTAGCCCTGAAGTGTGAAAGGCAAATTATGGACATGCATTTGTGTTTTAATCTTTGTATTAGAGGACGTAATTTCTGAACATTCACACTTTACAGGCATGTGCATGACCCTAATTGTCAGCATCTCTTCTAAGTATCATGTGTCCATGTTGTTTAATATCAAACACAAACTTTTAACCCTTATGTCAAGTTGCAACAGTTTTTGAGTTATGAGTATTGGAGATATTCGTTAAACTATGATGATTTTCTTGGAGTTTTGTGACTTTTTTTTTCCTTATTGGTTGTTTGTGTTTTTGTAATAGCAATGGATTTTAGTTTAGTTTCATTTATTGTTATTTCAGAATTAAAGAAAGAGGTTATTGAAGAAATAGTTTACCCAAAAATGTGCTGAAAATGCTCAGACCATCCAAGATGTAGATGGGTTTGTTTCTTCATCAGAACAGATTTGGAGAAATTTAGCATTACATCACTTGTTCACCAATGGATCCTCTGCAGTGAATGGGTGCCGTCAGAATGAGAGTCCAAACAGCTGATAAAAACATCACAATAATCCACATGACTCCAGTCTATCAATTAACATATTGTGAAGTGAAAAGCTGCGTGTTTGTAAGAACTAAACCCATTGAGGCGTTTTGACTTTAAACAAACATTTCTAGCGAGTCCATAATCCTTAATAATGTTTCTTCTACTGAAAAAGTTCATGCCCTGTTGTCCTCTCACATAAAAATCCACCAACATATTTGTTTAGAACTGTTTTGCACTGTTTTCTGTTCTTATAAACAGTGCTTGATCTGTGCATATTTCTCTCCTGATTCAGACGAGACACTTTTTTCACTGGAGAAAGCAATATTATGGATAGAGGACTTGTATTTTAGCCGGTTTTAAGTTAAAAACATCTTAATGATGAATTTGTTTGATATAAACAGCTTTTGGCTTCATAAGACATTAATGGATGATCTGGAGACATGTGGATTAATTGCGTTTTTTTAAATCAGCTGTTTGGACTCTCATTCTGACGGCACCCATTCACTGCAGAGGATCCACTGGTGGGCAAGTGATGCAATGATACATTTCTCCAAATCTGTTCTGATGAAGAAACAAACTCATCTACATCTTGGATGGCCTGAGAGTTTCCAGTAAACTTTCATTTTTGAGCGCACTATTCCTTTAATGACTAAAACAAATGACAACTAAAGTCTATTTGGCTAGTAATTCATGATCCTTATTTAATTGCCCTGCTTTTTGATCTACCAGACATTGTCGAAGGCATCCAGAGCGGTAAGAAGTCTCACTACTACCATCAGAAGTTCCGGCGTGTTCCTGAGCTGACTCAGTGCCGGGAAGGAGATTATGTGTGCTATTATGAGGCCGAGATGCAGTGGAGAAGAGACTAGTATGTTGCCTCAGAAAGCCTTGTAGTACTATATCGTTAAGCATTGCATTACATAATGAAGCTTTGTGCACACAATCACTATTTATTTATTTTTTTGTCTGCAGTAAGGTGGATCAGGAGATAGTGAAGGTGATCCAGGAGCGTCTTCGGGCCTGCCAGCAGCGTGAGGGTCCCAGTTATAGACAGAACTGTTATAAAGAATTGCAGCAGTTTGAGCAAGTTTCCAAGTCCTTTCAGTCACGCTGTGAGTATCATGTTTGGTAGAAGTCTTTTTTATGTGCAATTAGCAGTGCTGTTTTAAAGGGGTCATATGATGCGATTTCAATATTTCCTTTCTCTTTGGAGTGTTACAAGCTCTTGGTGCATAAAGAAGATCTGTAAAGTTGCAAAGACTAAAGTCTCAAATCCAAAGAGATAGTCTTTATAAAAGTTAAGAGTCAACCACGCCTACCTAAAATGGCTCGTTCTAAGTTAACACGCCCCCACATACCTACGTCACTATGTGGGAAGATTTGCATAACGCCGCCCAAATGTTCACGCAAAGAAAGAAGGCATAACTTTTATTCTTGCTGTAGTATTGTTGTTGCCGCCGCCA